TCTGTTCCACTTTTCAGCGTAGCACTATCGACGATTCATGACCGATATCGCATTATGATACGAACGGTGGAACTTTTGTTTTGTGACACGGAGCCACAATATACGACACGTGTTAAATTTATTTTGTGAAATTCATGTTTCTATGTTTATTAAGATACTTTTAATTAAAATAAGCAGTCTCTTGTTAAATATGTTTATGTTATACGCCATTTAATCGTAATTTTTTCATTTCTTTATCGGAAATCGTTTGTATTTTTTTATTCGTTTCTCTTTTCGTATTCTTCGGGTATGCTTGATCAACTGGTGTCAAATTTCCACCTACTAAAGATTTCGAGAATCTTTGTTATGTAAGATTATTATTATTATTATTATTAAGTTTTTTTTTAAAAATTTTTAGTATATTATTGATAAAATAATAGTATTATTAATAAAATAATTTTAACGCGTTTCTTTCTTTTCGATTTAGTATTATTTTTATATAAATTTTTCTTTCGTATATATATAAATATTATAATAACTATAAAATAAATAAATAATAACTATAAAATATTATATGATATAATATTAAATTTATTATTCTTGAAAAATAAGGAAATAAATAATTTTATGTCTTACTCACTTCTTATGTCTTTTTCGAATAATTTTATTCTTACATCTCTTTCAACATTATCAATTTCTATCTCAATTTTGTTTATGATTACTACATCAACTATTATAAAAATCTTAAATATTTTTTACAATAAATTAAATGCTTTTCAATTCAATTCAATGCTGTTGTCTTCGAATCATATTCTCTATATCACCTTAATGAATTCCAATCATCATAAACATGTTGATAGCTTCGTAATACAGTGTACAAGAACCGAAGTGGGCATTATTAAAAGAAGGATAGAGGTAAGTGTATCTTTATTCACACATTCTAGTGACGTCCATGAGTGTATGCATACATATAAGTGTAAACACGCGATGTACGCATTACACATGTATGTATATATATACTTGTTCAGCCTATGGATATTCTGCATGAATATTGTTATGTAATTGTATATCAAATATAGTATTATTTTACATTACACAATATAAGAAAAAAAAATATTTATAATCATTATATGTATAAGAAATTGTTGTTAATTAATTTTCATACAATATCAAATTCAAATAATGATCACTTTGAAGTTTAATCTTCAGATATCATTAAAAATATTTATAGTAACATATTTTTCTGAAATGATATATAAAATTAATTTTTTTTATCTTTTACAATAAAAAGAATATTTTTTATTTACTTACAATTTTTATCTTATGAATTTTTTATATTAGATTTTTATGTCTTTAATTATATATTCAATAATTTTATAATTTTCTAACAAATTTTGAAAATATCCGTGAATTTTTAATTGAAAATAATGAGATTTCCGTTCCGTTTTCAATATGTTAAAATCTTTTAAGTTAAAGGTCAACTTTATTTCTATTCTATATTAAAATAAATGCTTTGTTTGAAATTATTCATACTATTGAAGATAAATCTAGTTCATATTAAGTTTATATTAATTGAAGATAAATAATGCGATTTGCTAATAATCGGAAAAAAAAGAGATTATTTATCAATTGAAATGAGAAATATCTTCATGATGTATTGTATTTGAGAAGATTTCGATTTGATGATGAAAATTTTGACCATCAGTGCTGCGTGTTTGATTCGTGACTTTTACGAAGAATCGTATGACATTGAATCACGAAACTAAACTAGCTGAGAACATAGGTTACTGGTTATCAGTAATATAAAATGTATTTAACGAAATCTATTGTGATAATAGTTAAACGTAAATAAATCTTCTCTTTATAGTTTTTACTATTACTAACTACAATAATTTTTAAACGAATATTTTTTTTCTCTTAGTTTATTTTTTATCTTTACATTTTTGTTGAGTTTTTTTTATTCATTGTAATATTATCACTTCTAATATTCACTTATATCAATATTAAAAATGGTGAATTAAAATATTGAATAAAATATTAATATTTAATATTTAATATTTAAAATTAAATTAAGAATATTATTTATTTTATTTTCTTTCGAATTGCAAAAAATCATGCAAAAAAAAAAAAAAATAATGAGATGCAATCAAATACGTTGAATAATTAAATTTAATCAATAATATTATTTATATGTTCAAGATTATAAGATGAGATAGTAATAAGACGTTATTTATTAACAATAAATAAATATTTTCAATATATATAATTATTTATTTTGAGAATACTTTTTAGAGAAACTTTTTATTATTTTTATTTATAATGTAAATAAGAAAATTTTTTTAATAATATTATTTCATATGAATAGAAAGAAAAAGGATTTTTTACTATTTCGAAACTTATAAAAATATACAATCTACCTACTCACATTGTTATGTAAAATTGATAAATATAATGTATTGTATGCACTATCAATTTTCTAACTTCGATAAAATTATTAACACAAATATAATTAATATGATGATTAACAATAATATACTATTTGATATAATTTTTTTTTATAAATTTCCGCAAATATTTACGTATTTATTGAGATATTTAATATGTATACATTTTGAATTTATAAATTAATCTATTTTTTTTTAAAATAACTAATTTCATTTAAATATTTTTGATTTAAAATATATTGTTCTTTGATATTAATAATTTTCAAGTTTTTAAAAATAAAATTTAAATTTATGTATAATTTATTGTTTAACCTATATTGTATAATATATAGGTATAATATACAGGTTATATATATTGTTGTAAGAAATTAAAAATATAATTAGTAAAAATTTGATATCGAGTTTAATGATGTAACAAAAAGAATGATTATCAGGGTCATCGATCACGTGAATATGAAATTTCATAAAAATGGTATGATTTGTATAATATCGTTCATTGATAAGTACAATATCACTTATTGCATAATTGACGACATAGTTTTATCGTGTTTCTGACAGTACGCATTTAGTATATGTATGTAGCAACATACATTCTTATTTTTCTATAATATAATATATATTAAAACAATTTAATCTATTTGAATTAAGCAGAATATTTCAATAATTTGTTCCATATAGTTACATATAAATTCCAAAAATATCTCATATTTTGCAATTTGTTTTGGTTAGCCTACTTTTAAAAATTAAGAAGATTATACGCGACTGTTATAAGATTATACGTATACAAGTATATATGAAGCTTTATCGAACATTTTTTAATGTTTCGTTATATTCGTTATATTTATGTATTTCATGTAAACTATAAAATATCATACGAGTGAAATATCTCGCAATGACAAAATACAAATCTATTTTAATATTTATTTTTAAAATTTGTCTAATTAAACATACATTTATATATAATTATATATAAATTGAATTTTTCTATTGATGATATGTAATCAAAATTATAGAATAATAGATATAAATGAAAGAATGCAAACAAAAGATATTATCAAGCTAAAAAAATAATTTTTAAGAGTCATTCTTTTATCGCGGGAAACAATAGATATAATTTTTTACAAGTTACAAAAAACAGATAAATTCAATGATATTTGATAACATACTACATATCTATAAATAGTAAAAAAATTTTAAACGTAATTAAATATAGTTATAAAAATATTACTTTATAAATTTGTCATCAGTGAATTCATGTTAGCTATTAGCATATTTTAATTTTGAAGCACTACATAGCTATGAAAGTAAATATATGTTTTCTTATTTAATAAATATATTAATTTACTATAATTTATTAAAAAATTACATATATTCAACGGTAACAAATTCTATAGATTTTCACACAAGGCAATCAAAAAATTGACAGACTATTCCGATTGGTTGATTGAGTCAGGCGACGTATGCTGTATTTTGATTGGCTATAAAGCGTAACCAAGTAACACGCGTTATGATGTATACTAAATAGAACTTTAATGCTACTGTACATGGAAATTTCATTTGCATAATCTTTGGGTAATCTTCAATGAGAAAAATCAAAGCTGATATGAAAATGAAAATAAACTTACCGGTGACGAATCTTTCGCGGTGGAGTAGCACGTTCCTCATTGAGGTTAAGTTCATCTCCGTTCTCTGTCATTCGATATGATTTTGTTCACAATTTGTCACGAAAAAATGTTACACGGCACTGTTTATGCCTGGTTATAATTTGTAAACGACCGAACAATGTCGATCACAGTATAGGAAATTATTGTCACCTTCTAAACATGGATTTTTTTACTTCCGCTAAGGCACGTACACCGTGGAGCAACATAAAGAATTCATATACCGACACTTTTGGTGGTTCCACTGTTGATTTCCACGGTGATTTATTTATCGATAGAGAAAAACCTTTTAGTATTACATTTTATATCTAGAGGTCAGGATCTCACAGTACAATAGTTTCAAATTAATCTACTCTGTGACTGAGAAAAATAATTGTTTGTGGTATGAATTTCTTTGTATATATGGTTAAAAAAGTACGATTTATATTATGATAAATATAAAAATAATATTTATAAAATGAATGGTTATAATATTTTTTATTTTTTAATTAAATTTTTTTATTCGAATTATTATATAAAATTATAGAATTTTTTCTTCATCATTAAATGAAACTTTTATTGATTTTTTCCTTTTTTTTTTGTGTTTCATTATGATGTCCGAAAAACTTTATTTAAAAAAGTGAAGTATAATTATATAGATATCATGTTATTAAAAAATAATATAAAATATTATATGATACAGATCACAATTTATAGACAATCTACAAATAATATTTTATTGTTTTCACATAAAATATTTTGGGATCTCGTTTTTACAAACACTCTTTTTAAAAATTCATTAATCGTTATTTCGTCGGTATTTATTCAGATTATCAAAAAATTCTAGATTTATTAAAAATACGTAATAAATATAAAATATATATTTAATATATAAAATATTTATTTTCGCTAATACTATTAATTTTCTTAGATATATATATGAATTTTTATTTTTACAGAATAAACTTATTTTTTCTGATCAAGATAAATTTACCAATATTATATTAAATGAAATAATTTTATTACAATAATCAAGTTCTCATATAAAATTATGGTTTATATTAATCAAAACATGTACAATAATTATATTGCATTTGCAAACGATCACAAATCGAGTCAAGTACTTGTTATTGCTTTAACAAATGTAATTAAACACAGTTTAAATGTTAAATTCAAAGAAAATTGTTTTTCTATGTTAAATGTAGAAAATTCACATGAGATGGAAAATGCACTTATGATTAAATTAATACAATGGATTAAATTAATCCATGAAAATTATATATTTTCCAAAGATAATTAAATATTTAATAATTGAATAATATTAAATTAAAAAAAAAAATTATTTTTATTTATTTTACAATATTCTTTCTAAAAAAATAATAACAATTATTAATACAATAAGTTTGTTTATTATATAATGAAAAAATTATAATTTCATAATATGTATTTCGTAAAATATTAAATAAATCTTAATATTACATTGTATATATCAATAATAAAAGTAAAATTTATTTTATACAGATTTAATTATTCCCGCCAAAGATTAGTATAACCGATAGAATCCTGCGCAAGTGCAGTTGCGCATAACAAGCGTAGTATTCATTCTTCTTCCAGTCAAGACGCGAGGATCAGGTTAGGCAGGTCGGATTGACAGTAGAGAGCGGAAACGGCATTTTGTTGGAACTTGTAAATGAAGGTTAACTTTGTCGCGAACTTAGTGAAGTCTGTGGACAAGATCGAAGGCAATGCCACAGCAAAACTGTCAACAAGATCTCCGTATTGGTTTACAAGTCTCGCGGTGAATTAACCAGGGACAAACATGGCTCGCGTTCCGGCAGACGTGTGTTTTTCTTCGTGGTGAACCTACCTCTTTCTCTCTCGTTCCTTGTCCCTGCCTCTGTTTCGCCAGGCAGGGATTCTCAACTTCGGGAGTGGTAATATTCACGCAAGTACGTAATGCATACACCTATTGTAATGTGCGTATCATACGGCTTAACGTATATTAATATACACACGGTAAGGGAAGAGGAGCTTCCCTCTTGTTAGTATGCAAGTGCCGTTTCGATGCCCCTTACGTGGCCTTATTTGCACTCGTGTACAATCGGCGCGCGAAACGAATCAAAATGACCGTTCTCCTTTTCGCATGATTTTTTTTGGAATATATGCTTAACCCATGTAAGTACGTTTTAATTTTCAACCATTCGCAGTAAAATATTATGTGTCCTTGTGTATTTCTCTTACTCTTGTTCATCGTGAATGTGTGTGTGTGCGTGTAACGGTGCAGTAAATGGCGGAGGATGTAAAAGGGCTTTCCTAGTCTACGATGTGCCAGCAAAGAATTATCGGTATTGTCGTTTCCCTGACATAACCGCCGTTACTTCCCCTCGTTCGTAGTTTCAGGTGAGAGTCGATAATCCAGCTGTTTCTGAACTTTTTATGTGCTACATATTTAATATTTCCTTGTTCTATATTATTGAATTATATGATGTAAATATATTTTGTATTTTATTTATGTGATCCATTACGACGATGCAATTTCGTATGCGAGGTTCATTGCACTGTTCATAACTCTGTATTGCATACTACCGCATGAGTTGAATTTCCGAAAAACTTTTCGGCGTATTTTATAACCTCAAAATTTAGTAATCATTCTCGTAGATATTTGTTCCAATAATCAACAAGAAAAATTCAGGATGTATAACAAAACTTCATTATGCTATTATTAAATTCAAAAAGATTTTAAACACTATACCATCAAAATAACATTTATCTCTATGTTTATTTTTATTTATCATATGTGTATATTTATCAAGAATTATATTTTAAGATTATATAATCACAATTTTTATATTTTCGTAATCATTTATGGTCAATCATAAAGTATCAATGAAAATATCTTCCAAATTATCTAAGTGTATACAAATCATGATAATTTTTTGTAAATTCCGATTAAGAGCCGGTATATGCAAGGAAAGAAACGTGTTGACAAAGTGTAAATGATAGCGAGTCGGCGCGCACGAACGTAAAAATGAGAATTTAGTTACTATATAGGAATTGAAGTGCGTGTAACGCGATAAGGGCTTCTCGTGTGTACGATGCTTAATTAAGTTCTCATTGTATGTATGTTGCACAACCGGAATAAGAGAAAAACAATCCGTGCGGCTTGTAATTAAGCAATGGATGTGGTTGCGCGTGTTGGAACATCACAATGAGAATAACAATACGCAGAAGGCGGGAGAATTCGTGAAAGAAAAAGATTCGAATACATTACATTCACATTCCAGTTGCAATGCGCGCATTGAAGATAGTAACCTTGGCATAGTAAAGTTATCAGAATGGCGTAATCTTCTCCCTATTGAAAAACTCCACCTTGACTTGTCTCTATCAAGCTCGTTAAGCTTTATCAAGCGACATGTCAACGACTTCGTAAAATTTAGTTCGATCGCATAGTTCTCGAGCGCAATTTGATTATCCATATTACTGCAATATCGTCTTAACTATCGCAATCATGTAAATTAATGTTAAAATTGCAAAGTTATTTTAGAAATGAATATTTTTATAATCATAAGTTTTTTAATTTTAATTGGTATAGCTATAATATATTTAATATGAAAATATATAATTTTTTTTTAATTATTAAAGACATTATTGTGCTATATTTGATATGTTTTTATTATTATTATTATTATTTTAATAAAGATAATAAGGGACACTTACCAGTTTTGACTTGCACGACACCGAAGCCCAAACACATGGATCGAATTAACTTCTACGGATTCGAATTTATCGATCAAATTTACTATTAAAGAAACGCGAAAACTTTCTTATGGCTTATACTATACAAAAATTGAATTTTGAAAATTGATTACGACAAATATTACAATCGAGATCGTTTTTGCGAGGAATTTTTTTTTTTTAAGCGTTTAACTATAAATTCTGCCCATGAATATTTAAGATCTCGGTATATGGTAACGGATGTGGCATAGACTTTTTATTTGTGGCTTTGTTACACTTTTATCTTTGTCGTTTCTGCTATACATTCTTCGCCAAAGAAACGAGGGAGAAAAAGAAAAAAGAAAAAAGTAAAAATAAAAAAAGGAAAGAAAGCAACATCAGTTTTGAATACAACCGGATATTCTCTTTAGCACAAAAAACATTATTCCAAAGAATATCTATTAATTAGCTATTAATTATATATTTTACAAATTTTTGTGTAAAAAGACGATTAATTATTAAAATTATAAAATATTTTAATTTCAATTCAAGTTAAACTTTATTCATTTTACAATTACAATTTCTTAGTACTTAATTTAACTTAGCCGTAACTTTTTAATCTCCTTGAAAAAAATAAAATCTTAATAAAAAAAAAAAAAGAAACAAATATCACAATTTAGTAGTATCATGATTACCAAATTTTTATTATACAGTATATATACATATTAAAATCTCACGAAAGTATAAAAAAACAAAAAAGGAGAATAAAATTTTTGCCCGCCTCAAGGAACAATCGATTAGGTTGGCCGTCGATCAGAGTAATACTTTCGCTTGATTAAAGTTCAAGACGATTGTTAGATATATCTACGTTATATCTACAGATCGTAGGCCGCGGCAAGGCCGTCAGATTTAAAACAGCAAATTCACCTGATCGCCTTCGGTAAACATGGCGTTTTACTTGCGTTCGAAACTTTCATCCGTCTCGTGTTCTCGATTCGTGGATAAGAATCGCCACGGGACCGTACCAACCGTAAAAATTAATTACCAACTCTATTTTCACTTTTCTTTGTTCGTTCATTCCTTTGAATCTCTCAATCTTCATATTCAAGTCTATTTTTTTTTTTTTTCGTTTTTTATGCGATTCGATTTCTTTTCTTTGGATTACGAAAAAGATTACAAATAGATTATGATTGTAACATAAAAATATGTTATTATACGTATATTATATTATATTATATTATATTTTATGAATTATAAATATTAAGAAACAGTTAAATTGCTCGTTTATTCAAATGGTCTCGAATGTTATTCGACAGGATATTTAATATTTCACGAGCAATAAATAAATTATTTAATTCATTGCTTCTTTTAACGAGAGAACTTTGAATTATTAGAATTTAATTTAAATGTATAATCCTTCTATATTAAAATACTTATAATATTTCTATGAGTAAAATTTTTAAAAAAGATAATTAATGGAAGTTATCATCTTCTTTAGATATATTCATTCAAAATTCCACAAAATATCTAAAATTCGATAAAATTTGAGATTCGAAATAATTACAAAATGGCAAATCTAAATTTTTCATTGTCTTTTTATTATTGAAAGAAATATCTCGCGGATCATTTTTTCTTCGTTCATCAATAATAATTTAATTCTTATTTTGGATCTTTAATGTCTCGCGCGAGGAGAAACACGAGTTAATGTTCGAAGAAGGCGTCGATACGACCCGAGTATAAGTTGATTCGAGTGAAATTTACGAGTATCCACGGTTGTTAGCCGCTATGATATATCCGTATGTACATGTATATATACGCGAGTTTATATTTCGTCCGCTATAATAAACGTATGGCTATAAAGACGTCTGAGTATCCAACGGAAATTGTTTGCGCAGAAGAACGTGAAAGAGGAATAATGGTTCAATCGAGAGGAAAGTAAAATCCTGCCGTCATCCTGGCGCGTGGCAAACCAGGCCAAAGGCCTGGATCCTCATCCTCCTCGTCCTCGTCCACGGAGAGGTTGCAAAGGATGCCAGGACCGGCACAAGAGAGGCCCCGTGCGCAACGACTCACCGATATCGAGCCTCAAACTGCAAAAGTGAGTAAATTAATTTCTTTCCTTATATATCTTATTTTTTTTTATGCCGTTAAACAAGAGAGAGAGAGAGAGAGAGAGAGAGAGAGAGAGAGAGAGAGAGAGAGAGAG